CACCCCAAAAAGCCTTGATGAATTCTGTGGTCTTTCTCTCACACTCCTTCTCTCACAACCTACTCTTAGACTCCTCCTTCCCACATCTGCACTCCCTCACAGTGGCATTGGGCACAGGCTTATGTGGCTGGATGCCAGAGGCACAAATTCTTTCCTAAAGCTGAATTATCAGGATGTGGAGGTGACTGGGGATGCGGTGGACATCCCTCCCCAGCATCAGGCTGGGAATCAAGGATGACAGGCACTCTTCGCACTGTAGTGCTCAGGCATGGCCACCGACCTCTCCATGCTGGGCTGTGCCCCACATCCCTCCCTGCCCATGCTCCAACAGCCTCAGGAACAGCTCCCTGCAAGGCCTTGGCCTCCCCTTTTGCATGGAACCCCTTGTACTTTGCCATCCACCCCCTGGCACAGGAGCAGGAGGCAAGGGCACCAAGCATGGAATGAGCAGCTTGCCCTACTCTTCCCCAACACATTTGCTTTACAACAAAGACCAGCAGGGAAAGATGGAAGAATGGAAGATTTTTCAAGATCATGGTCTAGGTTACTTGGTCTCCAGTGGAAGAAGAGATCGGAGAAACCCAGGCAGGGGAACTCCTCCCTGCTTGGGTATCTGCAGTGCTCCCTGGAACCTGCTTACAGCAAGCTGTCCCCAGAAGGGGAAGCCTGAAAGCTTTTCTCCTTACCTGAAGGTTCTGTTGGTGGCACCTCTGGTGGCTCTGTAGCTGTCGCAGTATCAGCAGTGTTTCCTGGAAAAGGGAAGACAAAAGACATGGCAGCACTGCCTAGCATTGACTCTTCAAAAAAATAATGGGCAACTCTGTGTCCTTTCTCTCCTAGATCTTCTCACACACCCTACTCTTGGACTCATCCTTAGCACATCTGCACTCCCTCACAGTGGCCTTGGGCCCAGCTCATGTGGCTGGAAGCCCGAGGCACAAAGTCTTTCCCAAAGCTGGATGATCAGGATTGGGCGGTGGTGCTGGGGATGCTGAGCACATCCCTCCCCAGCATCAGGCTAGGAGTGGTGGATGACAGGCACAATCTGACCCTTGGTACCCAGCCATGGCCCCTGGCTTCTCCCTGCTGGGCTGTGCCCCACATCCCTCCCTGCCCATGTTCCAACAGCCTCAGGAACATCTCCCTCCAGAGCCTTGGGCACCCCCTTTCATGGAACCCCTTGTACTGTACAATCCACCCAGCGGCACAGGAGGCAAAACCACCAAGCATGGAAAGAGCAGCCTGCCCTAATCTTCCCCAACACATTTGCTTTACAACAAAGACCAGCAGGGAAAGATGGAAGAGTGGAAGCTAGTCACAGCCAGGATCTGGGTAACTTTGTATGCACTGCGAGAAGATCTCAGAGAAACCCAGGCAGGGGAACTCCTCCCTGCTTGGGTATCTGCAGTGCCCCCTGGAACCTGGTTACTGCAAACTGTCCCCAGAAGAGGAAGCCTGAAGGCTTTTCTCCTTAATTGGAGGTTCTGAGGGTGGCACCTCTGGTGGGTCACCATCTGTTCCATTATCAGTACCTTTTTCTGAAGAAGAGAAGAGACATGGCAGCACGGCCTAGCATTGTCTGTTCAGAAAGCCTTGGGCAATTCTGTGTGTGTAAGACAAGTGCTGAGCAGGTAAATGCTGTGGATCTTTTTGAGGCTGAGCAGTCAAATTCCTGAGAGGCTTTCCCAGCATCTTGGCTCCCCCTGGCTGAAGTGACTGTGTCACCTGGTGTGTCCTTGGCCCCCTTGTCCCCTAAGGGCTGTGCTTGTACACAAGGCCCTCACACAATGCCGTGTCTTCTGCTTTATGGCCACTGCTGTGTCAGCCAAAGCTGTCACTTCCAGGGCAACCAGCCTTAGTCATCCCTGCAGGATCTGGTCACAGGATTCCCCTGGGCATCTCTACAGGGATCCCCCTCTATCCAGGCCTGATGCAGGAGGTAAAGGCGCCAAGCACAGAAAGAGCCTTCTCCTCAACTCTTACCCACTGCTTCCCCCTCGCAGCAAAGAACAGCAGGAAAAGATAGACTTGTGGAGGGTATTCACAGCCTTGATCTGTGTACATCTGTCTACCCTGGGAGAGGAGTTCAGGGAAACCTCTGTGGGGGCTGCTGAGGTCCCTGGGACTGTTCCCAGAAGGGGCTGTCTGAGGGCTTTGCTCCTTACCTGTAGTTGGTGAGCTTGGTGTCACTCTTGTGGCAGCAGTTGTTTCAGCAGAGGCTTCTGATGGAGGGAAAAGAAAGGAGATGGCAGCACTAGGGAACTCTTTGCACACAGGACAATTGTTGAGTAAACAGGTCTGGGAGGAGCTGTGTGAGTGGCTGAGCAGCCACACCTCTGGGCAGCCTTACCCTGCCTTTTGTCAGCCCCAGACCTCGATCTGTGCTGGAACAGATTCCTGTGGACATGGACAGCAGGCTATTTCTATTCCAGGAATGCTCCTTCTGCTACAGCATATCTGGAGTATCAAGACCTTCTTTCCCTGGACTACAGCTCCATACATTTCTGACAGTATACATTTTTCTCTTCTATTCCTTTCCTGTCATCATTATTTCTGAATAAAGGGAACCCTGCGTGATACCAGCCAATTGGTGAAAATACTTCCTCAAACTTTGGTTTCAGCCTCTGTTATTGCTTTTATTTTTCCAAAATATTCTAGTTGTTTAAGTTGTTGGGTGTTTCTTTATTTAACCTGTGTCATTCTCAACTCTTGATCAAAGGAATAAGTTCCGGTTTGAGGAGTTTGTTTGTTTTGTTTTTCATAGATATAAGAAGGATAAACCAACCTTGCTGATAAATGTGTGATACTGAAAAATGGCCAGTTTGCATAAGGTAATCTAACTTTAATCTGAATTAGTTAATTATTATTATTAACTATTATTAAATCATCATTAATTTACAAGTTAAGAATAAACTTATTTACTCTGCGTGAATGCTGCTGCAAGCATAATTTTATCTAAAGCATTAAAATCATACAGCTGAAAGATGAACATATTTGTGGCCAAAATCCGTGTCGCTATCCCAGTCTGCACATCTCAGCAGACATTTGAAAAATAGACCCCACTTTTCTAGAGCTTTATAGAGCTTTGAAAATCCTAAGTGAGGAAAATCTTCTACAGTTTTTTTCTCATTGGAAACGCATCTCACATAGAAAAGGCACATGCAAAAGACAAGCAATCCATTAGCCTCCTCTAGGTGAAGGGGAGCATGAGCAATTGTGGCGGTTCCCTGCCAGGTCTCTTGCCCCCACTGGTCACTGAGTTCTATAAACAGCATTATTATTCCCCAGTTAGTATAAATGGGTATTTTTCCTATAACCGTGATTATATGAATCTCTGCTGGCCACAGGCAATGGATGTTGGGACAGCAACTTGTTACAGAGGTGGCTTTTTTTACAGCTGCTAGAGCTGTGAGGCTCTGGCTAGCCATCATCCAGGAGTACCCTTTGGACTCAGGAAGAACAGCATCCACGGTGCCAGTGGAGTGCATGAGCTGCAACTGAACCTTCTGGATGGACAAAGGTGGTTAATTTATGGCTCTGTTTGCCTAGATCTAGCCTTCTATGTATGGAAACAGGATGTGTTAACGGGCTTGGGCATTACCACTGTGATAAAGAAATGGATGTTACCACCAAGGATATACAACAGCAGAGACATCTGGCTGCTGAGCAGGGCAGGGCCTTTGCCAGTACTAGTCAAATGGACACATCCTGCAAAGCTTTTACAATGTTTGCTTAGAATGAAAAAGGTTTCTGGGCAGATCTATCCTAATACAAAGTCAGATCAAGTGAAAAATGGGTGTTGCTTTCAGCAAGTCTTGGCACAAGAATTTTCACATCTTGCTATTGCCTACACACCTCCAACCAGGAAACCAACCAACAGACAATCTTGAAGACTTCTGTGTTTATGATTTACAGCTGAAAATTGGTCTGTAGCACACTGTGGTTGTTGCTGGAAATACATCTGTTCTTTCACAGTAGGAAACAGACCCACAGCTATCTGCCACCAGTTGCAAGTTTAACAGGTCTTAATTCGGCTGATATCTCTGCAATTTTATCTTTGTATTAGCTAGGAATTCCTGTACTCTCACAGCTTCAAGCTGCTGCAAAACTCTTCATAGAGATGCTTTACTTCTGCTAATGTCTTCATCCCCTCATACCTCTCACTGAGTATCAGGAAAAGGCAGGTTTAGCTATAGGCTATGGCTCACAACTACCAACTTTGGCACAATGCCAGAAAATGTACTAAATGGCTTAAGGAATGACACCTTTAGTTTGAACAGACTATGGTGCAACCCCCTTGAAAGCTGGTGGTGATGTTTCCATTAATTTATTTCAAAAGGAAAGAACAAAAGCTCAGTGAGCCCGCTCAGAGGGAGCTGCTTTCCAGACTGGTTGGTTAAGGAGCCTCTGGCCAAAAGGTACTGGGGTGGAACACTTGCACCTTTTGTTATGACTGTAACAGAGCTTGAATTACCTGGGTTTAGTATGAAAGTCCTGAAAACTGCTCTTGGAATAGGCTGAATTAGGTTAATCATAAGCACCAGTGATTTTCCATTGTTCTGCTAACAAGGAAAGCCGTTGGCTTACAGTGACATCTTTCACCATTAATTAATCAAAATCTAGACATGCTGAATTGTGTATCACAACTGGCTTCTCAACAGCTGCTGAAAGCACTAGAAAATCCATTCACTGCCACACAATAGCTGCCTTGATAAATCACAAAACAGACGATAGTGGTTCTTACCTTTCAAAAGGCTCAGCACCAGGCCGAGGCACACAGCGAAGAACACAGAGCGTCTCATTGCCACTTGTGGTGCTGCTGCCACTCGCTGCTAAGCCCCAGAGAAAGTGCCTTTCTCTCCTGGCGTCAGCTCATTTAAGGGCCCAGCCACAGGTAAAGAGCTCAGCCCTGAGCTGACGTCATAGTGGCAAAGTGGCAAATGATAAATTCAAGCAGTGTTTTTCTTCCTCCTCAGGCTGGGAGGAGATTTCTGGACCTGCAGCGTTCTTCTTTTAAGTCATAAATACTTGAGATCTGTTGATACAAGGAAGTTACTGCTAAATAAGCTGACATGGGAACTGACAGTGCACCAGCTATCCCCTGCCAGCTTTCCATACCAACACCTTCCACGCAAATTAAACGAAGAGCGCAGTATAATCTGTTCTTAAAGGGGAAGAGGTGACCCTGTCCCAAGCTATGCTAATTATGCACTTGGAAAAGAGTAGCTGGGATCCACATGCTCACTTCCCGTGCAATAAATTACCAGTACAGACAAGCTTCATTCCACAAATTCCAATTATTTTTTTCCTATGAGCAAAATCTTATGCTAAAGCACTTCTTACTGCTTAACAGGTTAAAAAGAAAGAGAAAACACCTGCACCTTTGACATGAAAGAAACAGGACTGACATTGGCCCTTCTGGCAGTGATCATGGCTGTTTTGTTTGCTGCCCTCTTATGTGTGTTGCAGGCTCACTAAAGTGGTGAGTGAAAAGGAGGAGCAGGAAGGACAGCCAGCAGGTGTTTTTGTCTTTATCTGAGTGGCAGCCTTCCTTGCTTGAGGCAAAGTGTATTTCTGCCAGAGAGACATTTGTAACCAGGGAATATCAGGCTGGAGCAGAAAGCCTGCAGCAGATCTAGAAACGACAAAAAGCCCAGAAAGGTGTTAAGCAGGTAACCTGCTGTGATGTGGGGAAAATAGAGAGACTGAGACTTATGAACATTGCACTCCAGGGAAGCTTCTGAAATGGCCAGTGAGAGACCAAGATGGGAAAAAAGGTCTCTGTGGGCAGGAGTTGGTAATCCCAAAGTCTCTTACTTCCAGCTGCCTCCCCTGCCCAAGTTTTCCAGTGTTTGTTCTGCTTTGTGCTCCAGTAAAATGCACTGCTTGAGGTCAGCTGGGCCAGATCAGTGATTTCCAGTTCCTCCTTTTCAGGCAAAGGTGTAATTTCTCTCATTTTGAAGGTCTGAGTGACTCTGTATCCTGCCACAACTGCCAGTAAAGTCTTTCTCTGAAGTAAACACAAGTTATGCCATCATTCCCAGACAAAAGAAGGACAAACAACCCACCAGTGTATTATCCTCTGCAATGCCACTTCTAATGGTTATGGTCCTGGTCTCCTCTGGCAGACCCCACTGCCAGCAACACAGGCAGGTTATGAACACACTACTGAATGCCACGTAACACCTCTGTGTAGTAAATGCCTCTCCCTTTGTCTGCTTTTGTTTGATTTTCTGTTTTAAGAACAAGAAATGCAGTCTTGGGTAATCTCCTTGAATGAAGGAGGGTGAGAGAGACCAGAAGTATTACTCAAAGTCATTCCTGAGCTTAGGGTTGTCTTAAACTTTTAACTTGCACTGAACCAGGAAGCACTGCTGGCTTACCGACAGCAAAAATGGTTGTGTGCCTCTGCTGGCACAAGGAATGAACAGCCTTGTCCCTCTGTGAACCTGCTCAGGATGCTGAGCCTGAAATGTGGGGGGTTTGCCTGTGCCTTCCTTTGTATCTCTGTCCCTGAAGTCCCTCCAGTGTGACCTGCTCCCCACACCTACCCCCAGTCCCCACAGTGACCCCCTGGCAGCCCCCTCTCCCTCTGTCAGCTCCTTCAGGCTGTGCTGGATTCAGCTCCTGCCCTGCTGCTCCTCCCTCCCATGCCCATTGCCCATCAGATCACTCAATTCCTTCAGGCCCCTCCTTAAAAGTGCTTTGCCAGGAAGCTGACAGAATAACAGAAGGAAATGCCTGGGAAATGTTTGGCCCCAGTGCCCTGTGCATACCTGCTTGGCCAGTGTCCAGCCTCCACCTCAGGCCACCACCACCCTCCCAGCCTCAGGGACATCCAAAAACGAATCCCAAAGTCTTGTCAGAATAACAAATTTCAGTGCTGTGAGCCCCAGAGCCCAGCAGGTGCGTCAGGTGGGAGTGGGTGTGCAGAGGACAAACCTGGCTGTTGGAGAGTGGCACAGCTTTGTGTCACCCATCCTCTGGCAATGGCCATCCCCCAGATTACACTCTGATTTACCAATGCTGCCTCAAGGTGCAGCCAGATTAATCCAGATCTCAAAATCTCCCTGTTGGCTGTAAGGAAGTGCATGGGACCAAAAGAACTTCTCAGGGCACTACAGAAAATGAGGGCCAGGTCCTCAGCAGGTGTAAATGGTGCAGCTTTTCTGCCTACACTAGAGACTAGTGGCTGAGTGTGCAGTCCTGCACATTAGAACTGTTCTCTACAGTGAATGCACATCAGGAACTGGTGTCTTACCTATATTTCTAAACTTTACTTTCATTCCTGGCTGGTTGTTTATGTTTATTACGATCACAGTTTTGGCAGTGTGAGTCATTTGCAATGCAAAAGGCCCCAGTTCCTCCAGGAAGCAATGCCCTGAACAGACACACATCATCATGGATTAGCAGTTTTCATCTCTGCCTGTCCTTCCCTGCCCATTTGTGACACACCAGTGGTCACAACACCCTCTCTCCAGGAAGGAGGGTGACAGGCTCTATGTGCCCTATTGCTTGGTGATTTGTGGGGAAATTAATTATATATTATAAACCAGAGATATGGTAGTTTAGGAGAACACACACAGAGAATTAACCAAAGAGGAGAACTGATACCAGTGAAACTGCACTTAATAATTAAGTCATTAAGCACACATTAAGCGCAATAAAAAGTTGACTGTTAGTCCAGACAGACTCACACAGCCACAGGAATTGTGATGTCCTGCAAGGAACTACAGAGAAAACTTCCTTTGCAGAAAGAACTCAGTAACTTTCCAGAGGCTGTAAAATCAAACTGTTGTGTGTCAAAACTCAGATATACCAATCAAGAACACTGAACAATTATTATGGAATAAAAAAATATGCTATGTTTAGTAACAGTAGCTGCTCTATTGTCAATACTTTTTTATGGCAGGAAAAAGAAACACCAAAAATAAAGGGCCTTATCTATCTATTTAAAAGTGCATGTAATCAAGAGGTAATCATGCTGTCAGAAGAAAAGGTAGGGAAAATTCTTTTACAGCTCTTTATGTGCACCAGCTCAATACTTTTTTCCTGCACATTTTTTCAATCCTTTTTCTTACTAGATTCATCTATATTTTGTTATTTCATGTAAATTTGCTTCCTCCACTATATATGACATACATAAGTAGAAATATATGTTTTAATTAGCTAAAAGTTAAAAAAAAGCTTCAGAAGTCTATATCAAAGCTTTAGCTACAGATGCAGATTCACATATAATCAGGGGAAGCAGATGCTCTTTAACTCCTTTTCAGGTGGCTCCCAAGAGTTTGAGGGCACACACTACGGATGCATTCAGTAATCTCAGAGGCACTGACATGCAAATCTGGAGTGGGCAGGGCTGTCAAATCATGTGCTTCTCCACAACCCCAAAGACCTTTTACTTAGTCCCATGGAAATGTTGTGACCTGAGGTTTTACACTGCCAATTTCCTAACAGATACCAACCTCACACAGAAAGTAGAATATACCATGAGACAGTCATGGTAAGTGGTCTCTTACCATGGGGTGAGGTGCTCTCTCTGGGTGTGTGTCTCTTTTCATGGCTACTGGGAGAGCCAGATCATGTGTTCAAACTGGCCACCTAAATTTTCATAGAACAGATGAATCCCACCTTAGTCCCATCTGATTTCTGTCACAGCTGTACTGCTCTGGAGCAACACTGAAAAAATTGCCCCAAATGAACCTACCTGCCATTGCTCCAGATGCTGTTCCAAGCCATGCCTCTTCTCAGCAGCCTGAGTGTTCCTCTGGATTTACAGAGCCCTCCTTCTTCCTTTGAGGGACACTCAGCTGGGCATTCTTCACTGTCCCTGGTGGTTTTTACTGGGACTGGACTGATCTCATGGTGGTCAGGTCCAGTCCCTTGCCCTTGCAAACAGCCCAGCTGCACCCACCTTTCCTGAGGTTTTCCTCTCCTCCAACATGCACTCACACACATAAACAAACAACTTTACCAGTTCCAGCAAAAATTAAACTGAGGAAAAATTAAAATTAGACTGAGTTGCTTGGTGCCACCAAGGTAAATGTATCAGAACACAACTTGTACTTCAGCTGAGCACAATTTTGTTTGGCACAACTAACAGAACATACCCATTTCTTCTGTGCTTTTCAATTTAGTTATTCTATCAGGAAGCACCATCAGAAGAACAAAAGCAATTTCTTTTTTTCTGGATTGGATGTATAATAATAATTAAAACCACCTAAAAATTGCATATGTTTCCCTTTACAGGCAAAGCTAAGTACAATAAAAAACAGGGACATAGTAATATTCATTGTTTTATTGTATCCTTTTATGATACTGACTAGAACGCCAGATTTAATAATATTGGATGCAGGTATAAAAATAATCCAATCCTTAAAAATTATATTTTGCTACTACAGTACTGTATAATTAGCGGAGGCTGAAAATATGATACAACTTTAAATAATACTGGTTTGGAAAACATCCTTAGAACCCCAGAGACTTGGAAGCAAACATTCAGAGACAGAGGGAAGGCAGTGGAGCAATGTCAAGAACATAAAGCAGGTTTACATTCAGGTTGTAAAGAAGCACAAACAAATGCTGAAAATTTATCTTTTGGAAGAGAGTTCACAAAAGGTGAGCTTTACTATTGCAATTCTAAAAGCTGCTTAAATAAATCATTATGATTTTACACACCAAGTTTCACCTTTGACTTGGAGAAAGTCCTGTAGAATTTAATGGGTTTAAAGCAAATGACTGAGTTCAACAGGATTTCCTTTAAAAATGAAGGCAGTAAATATTTATCCTGTTGAGCTTCTTTTTTTTTTTTCTTTAAAGTAA